AAATCATGCTAAAACATGGTAAATCAAAGTAAACTATGGTAAATCGCTGCTAGCTGCTAGATCTGCTTATTTGTCAGCCCTATTAGAAGAAAATAAACAAAACCCTAGGTATTTATTTGAAACAGTGGCTAAACTAACGAAAAATAAAGCTTCAAGCCCAGAAGTTTCCAAGCAGCACAGCAGTAATGACTTTATGAACTTCTTCACTTATAAGATCGATAATATCAGGGAGAAAATAATAACTATGCAACCGTCTACTACAGTATCGCATCAGGGAGTGCATTGTAGTCTCCCTAAGGAAAAATTCGATTCATTCATTACTATAGGAGAGGAAGAATTTTTTTAACTCGTTAAATCATCTAAATCGACAACATGAATGTACCCTGTACCAACTAAGCTAATGAAAGAGATGCTTCCAGAGGTCAAAGATCCTCTTCTTTAATTATTAATTCATCTTTGTCATTAGGATACGTACCAAAAAGTTTTAAGTTGGCTATGATTAAACCGCTTGTTAAAAAAACACAACTTGATCCTACAGAATTAGTCAATTACAAGCCGATCTCGAATCTACCTTTTCTGTCAAAGATACTAGAAAAGGCAGTGTCCTCACAACTATGTTCTTTTTTAGAAAGAAATGGTATCTGCGAGGATTTCCAGTCAGGATTTAGACCGTACCATAGTACTGAGATAGCTCTCATTAGAGTCACAAATGATTTGCTCTTATCATCCGATTGTGGTTGTATCTCTATTAGTGTTACTCGATCTTAGTGCTGCATTTGATACCATCGACCATAACATTCTTTTAAATAGACTCAAAAATTATGTTGGCATTAGTGGAAATCCATTAGCATGGTTTAAATCATACAGTCGTGCTCAGAATTAATGCTACCCCTGGTAAATATGATCAAAACTGGCTGTAAAAGATAAATCTGCATCGTTTATCCTTTTGATCTTTTGTAGAGATTCTGGAGTCTCCCAGGTGGGCATCTTCAACCTTACAGTTGAAAAGTCCCCCCCCCCCCACACACACACACACACACACACACACACACACACACACACCCGAGCACCCCCCCGCCCCCCCCCCCAGCAGGCCTGGATCCCAACCAGATCCGGCCTCATGGAAGAGAGAGGACACTCTCTCACAAAGAACCAAGGACAATCTCAGGAGTTTGTAACAAGGATTCTAACCCACCATGCAAGTTCATCATATCTTCTTCATCCAACAAAGAAGGAAATGATTGAGACTTCAACATATGACACTCGCAGAATCATCAACAACTTCAGTTTTCAACAACTTTGATAATAGTGTACACTACCCAGGCATGCAAGTATACTTTTGATTTGATGCTTTGAAAATGAAATGCTGATGTTCTTCTCATATAGTTACATGGAACTTCTCAATAGTTCCGTTTTCGGTTTCGTTCTATCACTCACCTATTTATGTATTCATGTGTGTATGTTGTTTAGTTTATTTATATTCATATAAATATCTATTTTTAGTTAATAAAACTTGTACATAATATGTATTTGGTTCTGTCTTGTTTGCAATACAAGTCACTTTTACGATTTTGGTTTTGCTACTTGCTGTACATGCTAAGAAATAATTATTCTTCTGTGGCCATGGAAGATACCCTTTTCTTAGAATAAATTAATAATCAAAAGAGTTCGTTGGACGAACTGATTAATTGATTGTAAGATTAATTTAGCCATGTCAAGTTAATCCAATTAACTGACCCAAATATTTATAATTAATAATAACAAGTTATTATTGATTATTAATATTTCATAAAGCTGAGTTCCTTACATAATTGTGGAGAATTTTAGGGCATCGTATAAAACATTGTATGCAAGCAGACAGTAATCAATCATATGTTGTCCCATAAGTTGTTATTAACATCTCACACATCTCATACACACGCACAAGTATCTGAAATCAGCAAAACTATAGCCTGAATATGCCTTCCTACGAATGGCAGAAAGTATCTCAAATGCTATAATGCATATTTAAATCGTACGATAAGAAACTCCTGATATTAGCGAAGAAATCCTAATTTCAGATAGAAGTCGAGCGTACGTTAAGCCTTCTCTGACGAAGAAATCTCAGATTAGCCGCAGTAAATGGTACCAGAACAAATTAATCTGATTATGGACGAAGAAAACTCCATTCTCAGCATTTTGAAGGTGATCTGAGCGATGCTCCTCGTCCTCAGTCACCAATCAAGGCCTTGTTGTTTGTACGTCATTGTATTCATATTAAACCGCCGAAGCGCTCATATGAAACAATCGCGTCAAATTAGTGGTATAAATTCTAGCCTAGCTAACTAGTAACGTGCCATTGTCTGGGAAAGAACGGTGCTGTTTGATTTGTGAAAGAGTCACTCACATGCAACGTCATGTGCCTAAGCGAGAGACTCAGTGAAAACTTTCAGCACAGCTCGTCCGCTGCTCCGGCCGATCTGTGTTGTTGGTTGGCATTGTGTCTGGAACGCGAGCAGGCGTTCCTATCTAGTTTTTCTGACAACAGCACCAATCTCACAGACCCTCGTGTAAACAAGCGACGGTTGTAGCCAATAGCTCCCTCAATCCTAATTTACACGCATAACTTACAAGTAAAACCCTCTACCTCGAGTGATAGTTTTAGCACCGCCTAAAAACGTAGACACGTTAGAGCGTAAAGTGTAACCTTAAACCAAAGACTATAGATTTTGTGTGATTTGAACTGAGTGAATTGAACACGAGTAATGAGTCAAAGCTCTTCGAGGCTTTGAATCAAAGGAGTCAACTGCGTCACAAATGATTCTTTGTTTGAAGCGCCCTCGCTGGCGACCCCTGCTGGTCAAAACAGTGTAAGTGTAGCGGAAACTCAAATCAACGGAACACCTTTTACAAACCAATCGCAAAAGTTTTATCAAAAGGTGTAATCAGGTAATGGCAATCCGCGAGCTACCCAATATCGTTTAATATGAGGTGTCTTTCAAGGCACAATATCTTAGTAAACTGTAGGGCTCGTTTTATGAAAGCTTGACTTGAAAGTCAATCAGACCCTTTATCAAATGCGTCATTAAATGTGTACGAATCTATAAAGTGATACGAGTTCACATAGAGACCAGATACACACTGGTTCACGAACCGTTGAAATTTAAAACAATTTCGAAACAGCTATGACGCGTAACGAAGCCCAGTTTAATAAATTCACGTGACCTTAGCAGTGATACACACTCCGAATGATTTGAGACGAATGATTCACCCTGGTGTCAGAGCTTCACGAAGCACGTCTCATAAGAGGGTTAAACCACTCTCTTCTCTCTCTCGACCCCTTCCTCTTGGTTTCACTTTCAGATTAAAACCCAGATACTTTGGTTTTCATTTGTGTTTCTTTTATTTCGACCTAAACCTACCCCTATCTACGGTGGCCGAGAGAGCTCAACGCGCTGCAAATGAGAAAACACATGCAAATAGAAAAAAACACATGCAAATAGAAAAAAACACATGCAAATAAAAAAAAAACACATGCGAATTAAGAAAACATCTTCATCAATTTTACAAAACACGTGTGCTCCAAAGACTCACAACACAACCAAATACGGAACGCGCTGCAATTACGGAAACGCCCTGCATATATGGAAACGCGCTGCAACTACGAAAACGCGCTGCAAAAGTTCACAACACAACGGAAATGATTCCAGGGGACCCAAACAAGTGACGAACCCGGCTGGCTGGGACATGCGTAGACCTTAATAAGACCTCGTCAGTGGTGTTGTCGTCTGTCCATGACCTGAAAAGTGAGTTTGTTTTACTTTATTTTAAAATCCTGATCGTATTCATTGGCCCTTTGGATATTATTAGCCTAAATAATATGAAATACACAATTAACTGAAACGTTAGTATGTAAGCAGGCTAATTACTTTCACAACTAAATAACATCAAGGTTCAGGAAAATAAATTCCGCAATGCAAAATACAGTTTTTTTTATTGAAAATGTTATGTTTTTAACATATTTCTGCATTTCTCATTTATTCTTTATGCTGTAATACAGTCAGTAAAAAGAAACGATCTTATTCTTATCATATAATGAATATTTATGTGAAAAAATCATTCAAACATAAAAAAAATGGTAATTAAATGTATGTAATGCTCCCTGTTGTTAGTCTTTTTTAGGTCACTGTGTTATGAATGCCATGTATGTTTTCTGAATGAGAATTGTTGCCAGTGATTGGTGGAATGAGCTAATTTTGAAACAAATATGAAGTGTTTTGTTGGTCTGAGTGAGTTTTGGGCCAAGATTGATCTTGGTAATGCAGACTATATGAAGAGTTTTGAAAATGTGGCTTTAGTACTGACCAATGCTTGTTAGCAATTGAAAAACTTACTGTAATGGTTAAAACCAGGTCAAAGAAAATTGCAGATTGATGGTAATAATAATATTTAAAAATGTATTCAGACCCTTTTACTATTGAAAGAATGGACAAAAGAGTACATTGTGCTAACTTCAGTCTACTCATCTTTTTCAGATAAAAATGTTTTGTCCTTTCTGTGGCATTCAATGGCCGACTTTGCCCAGATTTTGTAGCACCTGTGGGCGAGATGTAAGCTTTGTAGAGAACGCCTCTAGAACTGCAGGTGATGACCATGTGTCACGTATGACTGTGCCCAGAGCAGGTAATGTTCTCTTACAGAGATATCAATTTCAATTTCTATTGTTCCATCCATCAAATTATAGCAACTACATTGAGTCAATCTTTTTCTCTCTCTCTCTTTCTGATTGTGTTTCAGTGACTGATGCATGTGCCATTCCATCAAAGCCAACTGTTCTCCAGTTTATGAAATACAGAGAAGTAAAAGAAACTGAAAGGAAGACATTTTCTAAAAGTAAAAAGAAATCAAATAAAACAGTAAAGGTAAGCAAATTTTTATTTTTAAGTTAATGATGTTGTTGACGTTGATAATTATCATTATTCCATCTTTTCTCACTGATCATCTAGATTTCTGTTGGGATCATGAGCAAGACCAGGAATGGCTTTAAGCCCATGAGAGGGAAAAACCTACCTCTACATGTTGACCCCCAGTGGGCATCTGAGCAACTCTTGGCAGCTGCAGTGAAAAAACAAAAAGATTTCAATCAAGACATGGAAGATGGAGAATATGTCTTGCTTTATCCAGATGGCTCTCAGATAAAAAATATCCCTGGGACTGACACACCTTTTACCATTGGACAATACAAAGAGGCCATTGGAAAGGCGTTTCAAAGGATCACATTGTACATCTGTACCCTTGAGGATTTGTTGTCAAAGAGTAAGTATTGAAGTAGTATGTTTTATATATGTTTTATGCACATTTAAACTACAAACAAAATACTTTATGTGATAAGTGCTTTAAAGGGATAGTTCAGCCAAAATTCTGTCATCATTTACTCAGCCTCAAGATGTTCCAAACCTGTATACATTTCTTTGTTCTGCTGTACACAAAGGAAGATATTTGGAATGTTTGTAACCAAGAAGCTCTCACCCCCCATTGACTACCATAGTATTTTTTGTCCTACCATGGTAGTCAATGGGGGGTGAGAGCTTCTTGGTTACAAACATTATTCCAAATATCTTCCTTTGTGTACAGCAGAACAAAGAAATGTATACAGGTTTGGAACATCTTGAGGCTGAGTAAATGATGACAGTGGGATTCCAACTACAGTTACAGCCTACACATTTAACAATACTGCACATGTAATATGAAATAAAGATTGATCACAAAATCTTTTGTGAGGTCATGAAGATGACTCCGTTTCAGAAGATGAGGATGAGGATGAAGTTGTTAGGGTGCAACCCAATATGTCACCTCTTTCTGACACAGTGGTAGGTACATCACAGGGATTTAGGTGTTCAAGATGTCTTTGCAGTGCAGCTACAGTATAATGTAATGAAATCTCCTGGAATGGTCAACCATTAGAAATAGAAAAGCATATACAGACAGTGTTAAGGCTATGGATAACTTTAGGGTTTTATGTTTACACCTCTCAGCTTTGGTCTGGTCCCGAAAGCAGTACACCAGAGCATAGACCTTGGTAAGTGAAATTTCTGCTGACACATTTTTTTGGTCCCTGTGCCACCTATATGAATGTCAGTATGTTTTAGTTCATTCATTAAAAAAATTGCTATAAAGAAAGCATTCTATGTTCTCTATAACACAGTGAAAATTTCTACTAAATTGTTTGTATGTTTTAGGTCAGCCACAACATCTGAGAGATCCCAGCAAGTATGTCATATTCCGCAATATAATACACTGGAATTTGTTAATAATCAAGGTATTTCTGTAAGTTCTAATTGTGCTGTGATGTTGGTGCTGCAGGCCAACAGTGCAACAAGACCCAAACAGACAACCTCCTCAGTGGGTGAACTTAAGTCAAGTGACTTCTACAGGTCGGTTATAAGACATAACTTTATATCACATCTTTAGTATTAGGACATAGTTTTTTATTGTTTTGGCTCTGTACTTCAGAACACTAGATTTGAAATAAAACTATTAGACTAAAGTACTGGACTACAGCCAAAACAACAAAACATGTCTGTGTCAGAATACTTTCTGTATTAACTCTCTGTTATTGTTGTTCTTGTACCTCTCTTCCACAGTACATATACCAATATATATGCACCTATCACCATTGACAGCAGTTCCTCAGATCTTGAGGAAGTAGAGAAACTGCCAGAGAAAGACAGGTACTATCACATAAGAAGTACTTCTGCACTTTGTTCTTCAGCCTTTCTTATTTTGGTAATATTTATTGTCTCAAACAAACCAACATTTTTAATTGCCTTCAGTAGTCATAAATAGAGTGTAAAATTTATTTATGCATTTGGCAAACGCATTCATCCAAAGTGACTTGCAGTGCATTCAAGCTATATATTCTATCAGTATGTGTATTCCGTTGGACTCGGATCCATGACCTTTGCATTGCTAACGCAATGTTCTACCAGTTCAGCAACAGGTTTAGAAGTAAAAATCTGTCAGGCTGTTTCTCTTCAGTTATCCCTCTGCAGAAGAATGTGGTTTTGTGGACGGAGTCTCAAAATCTATTACTAAAGTTTTGATGTCCAAATTATGCTTATCATTTTTGAGCAGTGTTGTATAGCTTACTCATTATAAAGGGCCCATAAAAGACTATAAACCTAAAAAGTCCTGGTTTAAATAATCCACCAAACTAAGAAGAGGTCGTGTTAATATTTCTTGCTTTTCACAGACTGTTTTCTTTATTTTACAGTGATGGACATGATGGGCTAACAGCTGCAGACGTAGTGTCAAATCTGTCACTTAATCTTAAAAAATCATCCTGTAGCAGATTTAACATTAACCGGGCAAATGTCTGGGATGGTGCCTTAAGAGGTTTCAGGCGATCCTCATTTGACCCCACCTGCAGCTTGATGGTGAAATTCACAGATGATGCGGGGCTGACTGAAGAGGCTTTGGACAGCGGGGGCCCTTCTCGTGAATTTCTGACCCTGCTGATGGACACCATCAAAACCAGGAGGGTATTTGAAGGCAAAGAAAATGCCAAATACCTCTCATTTGATTGTAAAGGTAATGCTTTTTTTGTGAAGTTTTTACAATGTTGCAAATCAATGTGTCCTAACATTGCAATATTGGCATTTTTAGCTGCAGAAGACAATGAGTATTTCCAGATTGGAAAAATGATTGCTGTCTCAATTGTCCATGGAGGTCCAGGGCCTCGTTGTCTTTCCCCAAATTTCTTCCTTTACCTAATTGGTAAAGTAAAGACAATTGAGGCCCCAGTTGAGGACATACCTGATGATGAGGTCAAGAAGACCCTCCTTGAGGTAATTTGTTAGGCTGGGATTATAAACAATTTTGAGACATTACTTTCATCAACTGACACAAAACTATCCTTAGTATTGATACCTTAATAGCTGTACAAACAGTACGGTTGACAATACTGTAATAGAGGGTACGCTTTTATATGGGCAGTCAGTGTAAATTCAAAGCAGTAGTTCTAAATCTCTAGCATCTCTAGAATTTAATGTCTCAAATAAATGTCATTATTGGAAATTTTTTAACCTAATATCATTATCAATATGAGTTCATTTGATTTTTAATTTAATCCCTCAAAATGTCAATTTATTCAACATCAGAATCAGATGTTTTGGTTGCCATTACGAAGGTCAAAGAAATGTTTACATTTGTGCTTGAAAACGGATATTCTTATCAGAATCTTTGATGTGCCACACCCAAAAAAGCCTTTATTCAGTCTGCATAGGTGCTGGAAGGAAGACCATAAATGATCAATATATGCCTAAATATGTAGAGTATAGAAAGAAATGAGTCACAGTATTTCATTCTTTTGAATCTGACATTACTGTTCAATGCTGCTCTGTTTGTATCTATGCTATCTGTTTTAGATGATCCCATCTTGCTTTATATTTGTGTCATTGCAAACCACTTTTTAAAAAGAAAAATTATGAATAGTCCAAGCCTTACTAATTTGTATAAATGTAATGTGGCATATTATTTGGTCATAAAAAAATAAATACATTTCATTCCTTTTTATTTTCCTCTAGATAAAGAATGCTACATCACTGAGTGAACTCCAGGGACTCACAGAAAAACACTCCAGCATGCTTCAGACAGCAGGCTGCTATCGGTTCATGAGGACTCTGGGGGATAAGAATAAAGTAGTAGATGATTACATTCAGTGGTATTTCATCTACCGAAACCATGTTTCCATCCAGAGGTATAATATTCTACTTACTCTGTGGGCATGTAACAAAACTTTAATATAAAGTTAAATATACATTTTTAATAACATGACTACTTTAATACTTTCAACACTTTATACTAATAAGGGCTAAATATGGTGGTTGAAGTAGTCACCTCATATACAGATGTTCAATTTTGACCAAAAGTCAAAAGTGCACCTTTTGACTTGGAACTTTTTGTAGGTTCAAAGAGGGACTAGCAACTCTTGATTTTGTCAATGCCTTGGAACAGCATCCTTCACTCTTCTTCTCATTCATGTGCTACACTGAGACCAAGCTGACAGCTGATGCTGTGGAGAACATCTTCCAAGTGCAGTTTAGTCAACCTGGTAGCACCAACCGTCAGGAGGAGGCCAGAGTACTGAGCTACTGGCGAGATTATCTGCTCTACCTGGAAGGTATTATTTATGGTTAAAATTATAAGAAATGTGCTGAATTATCACTACAGCAAACGGTGAGATAAAGTAATTTATGTCAGAAATTTACATCAGTTCAAAGAACCTTAGTGTTATACACAAAGGACAAATCCACAATTGCTTGCTATGCGGTCCATTAGAATTTAAACTGGGTTCCATTATGCCACATGTGGTTTAGGAGAAATGACAAACCACCAGAGGTGTAAAGTCCAGGGGTACGAGAGTAAAAGTCCTGCCATATGTTTATTCCACCCATGAACTCAGCCAGCTGATTTCACTAATTAGTTCTATTTCCTGGCTGAAAAACTGTGCTAATTAGCAAATCCAGGTGATTGGAACAGAATACTGAGGAGGACTTTTACTTTCTGAACCTGGGGGGTATTCCAGAAAGCAGGTTATGTGACATATCTGGGTATATTTAAGAGTAAGTAAGGGGATAATCTCAAATTTCGGTTCCAAAAACATTTCAGGGTATGTAAGTAGCCATAGCAACCACGGAAAGTAGTTTGCTTAAGAGGTATTCAGATGCGTTATATAATTAATAAAACAAAATTTGTTATATAGTTGCACTATAAATTCTAAAGCACTATTATAACAAGGTAATGTTTAAATGTTTATTAAATTCAAATATATTTATTTTATTGTCATCTCAGACATGGATCTACATTCAATTAATTAGCATCAAATAAACAATATAATCCTTATTCTCAATGAATAAAGATTGAAAAGATCCACCAAATAGTTGGCGATGTGCACTAAGTAGGTTATATAAATCGCCATTAAACAAAAGGAGGAAGTAGAATGGCACGCTTTTTCTTAGCGTCTGTTACTCTGTTGAGAATGTCTTGTGTGTTAACCGGGAACATACTCTGGGTTGGATTAACTTACTCCCCGCACGCGTTTTTGGAACCAACATACCTCGAGTAAGTAAGGTTTGGGTTAATCTACCGAGAGTTCAAGGTATATCTGACGGTAAGTTAACCTTGCTTTCTGGAATACACCCCTGGACTTTACACCTCTGCAAACCACCTCCATGCAACAAATCAGCACTGTGCTTAAACCCTTTTACAGCTGTAAGGTGATAACTACACTGATTTGAAAGTAGCAACAAGTAAAAAATAAATGGAAACAAACTAAAAAACATAATGTCTAACATATTTTTCTTTTGCTCGCCCTAGAAAAAGAGACTAGTCCTTCTTTGGAAGATGTCCTCATGTTTGGAACTGGGCTGAAGGAAGTTCCTCCTGCAGCAATACAGCCACAGCCACTGCTAGTCTTTCAGAAGATCTCACGCTTTCCCATGGCAAATGTATGTTCAAATACAATCAAAATTCCAATCTTACCCAGTAGGGGTGTGACGAGACGCTTATCTCACGAGACGAGACTAGACACGAGATTGGGTTCACGAGAACGAGACGAGACGAGATTTTTGCACAATTTTTCAGAAATCCTCAATGACAAAATTCATGGCTGGAAAAATAGTATGCAGGTGCATTTTTCAATGTTTTAACTAATAATCTTCTAATGCATGTCATTTCAGGTCTACTTTATGAGTATGAATTATCAAATGCATTGAAAGAAAACAATATTCAAGCACTGTAAAAGGTTTTTATTGACTGGCTTTTCTCCTGTATAATTTCACATTAGTCTCTTCAGACCTTACTGTACATTTAAGAGCTTTCAGAACTTCTGATTGAGGCTGTGTGTGACCTCCTAACTGAACTCCTTTTAACACACATTTAACAGAGAAATAAAAACCGTATAAATAACAAAAATAAATAACTGTTTTCTCTTAGTCTTATTAAGTGCAAACAATAAGTGCGAGTGCAACCATAATCAAAGTTAGCACACAGACTCTTTATAATTGTTGTGAAATTGCGGTTTTATTTTGCACCGGCAGTTATAGGGTTAATGCGGTGAGTTCGGAAAAGGCCGAGAGAAACGAGGCTGTTTGTCTCTACAGTTGTTCTTGCGTTCCGATTATAAGTTCAGAAACGGAGCCTCCCTTGTCTGTTGTCCTTTGTACGTTACAGTGCTCTCTCAATATTCGCAGTGCCAACAGAGACCAGAGCCGCAAATAAACAGTCCAGAGATGGGTATTGGGAGACGGATTATTTTATGTATGCAGCCTAATTTGTGCGCAATGCACATCAGGGAGCTTGTGTTTTACTTTCACTTACAAATTCGTGACCGCGCGTATAGGGAGCAGCGGTGCTGAGCGCGCATTCTAAATGATAAGACATTTACCAGACGTTTAGTCTGTTGCGCAACGAATCCTCCGCCATCGTCACGCGATCAGTGAACTGTGATTCGTGCTGCACTGATTGCAACGGCAACTCGCGCTGGATGAGCAGAGCAGACTTTTGCATTAGTTTATAATGGTTTTTATTTTTTTATAAAAACAACAAAACGATAGTTTAGGCGAATGTGAGTGTAGCGGTGGAATATTAATGGGGATATCGCGAGACAGCTTTTTCACTCGACGAGAAATCTCGTCATATTTAGTCTCGCGAGATCTCGTGGCACGAGATCTCGTCACACCCCTATTACCCAGTTATGAAGAGTTTCAAGAAGCCATGGATTATGGCTTGCAAAACTCCCCTGGTTTTGGGCTTCCTTGAAACTAAACATCTTTGGCTGATAGACCAGAGTTTAGGTCAGAGTTAACGGTTTTATTGAAATCTTCTTTTTCTTTACTATTTTGAAATGCAGGTGTGTTTGTATAACTTGTACATTTTAACCTGCACTAGTTAAACATTTCAAGCCACTCAAAGGAAGGAAAGCTCAGGTTAACAGTTTTGATTGTATTGATTGTATTGATGCACTGCTGAGTTTTGAGGAATAATATAACAGTTTTAATATTTTCACAAGTGACATTTTTCATCAAGGACCAAAACTTTTTTTTAGTACATAAATGCATGCCATGTTCTTGGCACAAAACTTAAGATTTTGTGTTATACACAGAGCTTAAATCACTGATGTTCAGAAAAACACTGGTGTAAACATGCAGTGAACAAATAAAGTTGTTTAAAATGTATAAAGCTGTTGGATGTACTTCATTTAGAAATGACAAAGTTATAAAAAAGAAGAAAAAAAGTGAAAATCTTCTGACTTCTGCACATGTATCTACCCAGTCAATAGTTAATAAGTTACACTATACTGTGTACATGAGTAAAATAGGGATTATAACAAATACTGTGCTTTAAAGTATGTGAAGGCTGTTCACACAGGATCTCCAGAATCAATACCCTCCTGGAAGCATAAATGTTCTTTGCAAATAGCAGATCAAGCTACCCAGTAGATTATGAGAAGACTTAACTGTATTGGCATCAGTAACATGTGCATGTGTAACACAAATAATCATATCACAGAATCATAAACTAATGATTTTATAGTCCAGACATATTTTTGAGTGTTATGTAATTCTCAACAGCATTTATCCAGTTGACTGGTGGAGACAGCCCACTCTGTCTCTCTAAGTCTGCAAAGCGAACTTGGAGATTACCGTCACCACAACGACTGGGCTGCGGTGGTGGTAGAATGTCCTCAAAATCTTGAATGACTTCCTGTGACACTGGGAATCCACAATCCCTTGCATCAAACCTAAGGCCAGTCAGAAATCAAAACACTACGAGTCAACTCATTACAAATTTTAATATTAAAAACTACAAAGGCTGAGGTGGGAAAAAATGCTCATGCAAGTCAGTTCCCCAGCTGTAATAAATTATAACCCAATTTTTTATTTTGAATTTGACGTCAAATCAGCAAAAGGTTGACTGAGGTCAAATATGGTCATTATATTTGCTTCGACTACAAAGGGACTTTACGTTACTGAATCTGAAAAATCCACCTTTTTTGCTTTGTGCATTGTACATTTCGGTTTTGTTGTGGAATGGTGTTTTTTTTTTTTTTGTCTAAGAGTATTGGAATTATTTTTTAAATATCAATCTTGTTTTCTGATTTAAAAAAAATAGGATAATCGTCAAGTGAGGGACTTGTGGAAAGGGTCCCAGTAGAAATTTCTGAGACATTCCACTTTACACTTCTGCGTCAGCTTTAGGCAATCATATAGTATGATTTAATAATGATTTAATTTCTTAAATAATTAATGATTAAATTTAATCATGTGAAAACGCAATCTGATTTTTACTGAAAATGGTCACACATTGCATGGATTAAATACAAACCTGTGAGGCAGGTGATACATTGCTTCTGGTTTACCAGAATGACATCGAGACTGACGAACAGGTCGGATGGTGTGGTTGTTCCAGAGTTCTCTGTACTCATCAAAGTCCTTCTGCAAGATGCTCAAGAAGACATACCGTAGAAGGCACTTATGCTCATGGCTGCCATTGAAAAGGTGCCTCTCTCTCAGGTCACTGAAGAGCTCAATCCAGAACTGGGTCCTAATGATGAAATGACAGTATACACAATGTTTTACTTCAGTGCTGAATAAATGTTATATGGAAATTATTTCTAAAACAAATGTTTCAAACAAATGGTATTAGTTAAACTGTATTCGTAAATAAAACCTTATAGCATCAGGAAAAAGATTTACATTAAATTTTAGTCTAGTGTTATAATATATGTTGTGGCACAGCTTAAACCCTCGATCATGTGACAACACACAAAAAAACCTGACTAATTAGTAGCATTACATTTTTGTTTTTGCGATTAATCTTAAAAGGTCTGTACCTTTGCTTCCTGAAAAAGGACCACCAACTTTCAATACGTTGATTTGCAGTTGAGGTGCCATACATGTGACTGAGGGCTCCTGCAAAATCATCTGTATGCTGTGCTCTTAATGCACAGTGAATGGCTACCATAGTGCCATTTTCTGTCCCACAGTCTGTGCGAAGGCGTGCTGGAAGTCCAAAGTCTGATACACACTGCATGTAATAGGAAGCAATTATCCCTGGGTCGTTATTAGAGCTGCCACTGCTGAGCCACATCACTTTCCTAGAAAACCCATCAATACAGCCACTGATGGCAACACCAAATGGTTTGAGCTTATCATACCCATCAACATGCCACACTTGGTTTGGTCCTGCTGTAATGTATCCTCTTCGGACAAATCTGTGCCTATGGCGAAGTTGAACTCCAGATGGATCCAGTCTGCGAATTGTATGCATTACATCATCCCTTTTAACTGTCAGGAAATACTTCTGTCGCAATGTCTGCCACAGAGCTCTGTAACCCAAAAGCTGACCTGAGCCTGTCAGTTCATGTGTAATAGCGGCATTCACAGTGTTAATGGGAGTATACTCTGTCCTCCTTGTTAGGCCTGCATTCCTTAGCTTTCTCTTTAAGGTGCTCAGACTCAGGAAAATATTATGCTTTGTTCCAAGAAAATCAAGGATCACTTCATATGTGTGGCCCTCTGAGAAATATTTATGGATAAGGTCTGCCTCTGTGAGTTCAGCTGACACTGTTTCTGGGCCTGAAGGGAAAAGAGAACAGCGTCATTAGGAATGCAAGAATCCAAAAATATAATCTTAAACATAAAAATGTTTCTGTTAGAGACATTATATTGAGTTTTTGTTTTTATACAGTTACAGGTAGCACAATGGAAGGTCAAACAAGCCGTGTCGAGCATGCTGTGCAGCATATCATGCAAGACTGTGCTCGTGCCCGTAGCACTTTATCTTGAATTTGTTTGTTAGCAGAAAGTAGAAGTTAAGTTTGGCATATCCGACTTTAACCAGAAGGTATGGACAATGTGTTTATTTTACTCAAGGCAGAAGCACACGTCAAAACCAGACTTGTAAAAAACATCTGTGCCCCTATAGTTTCAGCATTAACAAAGAAATAAACAGGTAAACTATTTGATGCAGTTTGAAAAATGTACATATGTAATCTGCTCATTTCTGCACAAATCCAGGTACTAAAAGGCACAAAGAACAAAAGAACAACTTGGGCTGCCATTTAAGCTTACCACTTTTAACAGGCCGTATCAGGAGGTCTATGTTGATTCCATGAATTTGTGTTTAGTTCTGTGTATCATACAATCACTTGGCTCAACTTGATAATTAAATAAACAACTGATTGAGTGTATTATCAGAGCTTACCATTCTGTAGAAAAGGTGCCAGAAATCTAATGTTGCTACCACAGGAACCACAAAAGCATCCAATATATCCAGCCAATTCAAGTCCACAATATGGACAATACATAACCTGGAAGAGAAACAATGTGACTGCTTAGTACTAAACAATACTAACATGTAACTAAGCAAATTAAAGCCACTGATATAGCCTAGACATTTTTACAGCAGTCATTTTGACTTGGAATGGAAAACAGATATTTGAGAAACTCAACATACACAAAAGGTATTCATACGTATTGTCACTGAATGAAAATATAGCTTGTCAACACTCATAAGAAATGGGCTATTTTCTCTAAATTGTATGCTCAATGTACTTTGTTAGCTTCATAAAGTTATATAACTGGTATTAGTATCCTTTGATCAGAGTTTAGTTAAGTTAAGGTTAATAATTTTTAACTGATAAGAAATAAAAAGATTTAATTTCATATTAGTAGTGTCAGCAAAACCTATAGGTAGTTTTACTGGCTTGTTCCCTGTTCATTTAGAGTAATCCAGTAACATGAACATAACATTTCACAGTTAATTGTGTATTTCAGATTATTTAGGCTAATAATATCCAAAGGGCCAATGAATACGATCAGGATTTTAAAATAAAGTAAAACAAACTCACTTTTCAGGTCATGGACAGACGACAACACCACTGACGAGGTCTTATTAAGGTCTACGCATGTCCCAGCCAGCCGGGTTCGTCACTTGTTTGGGTCCCCTGGAATCATTTCCGTTGTGTTGTGAACTTTTGCAGCGCGTTTTCGTAGTTGCAGCGCGTTTCCATATATGCAGGGCGTTTCCGTAATTGCAGCGCGTTCCGTATTTGGTTGTGTTGTGAGTCTTTGGAGCACACGTGTTTTGTAAAATTGATGAAGATGTTTTCTTAATTCGCATGTGTTTTTTTCTATTTGCATGTGTTTTTTTCTATTTGCATGTGTTTTTTTCTATTTGCATGTGTTTTTTTCTATTTGCATGTGTTTTCTCATTTGCAGCGCGTTGAGCTCTCTCGGCCACCGTACCTATCGTATTCTGTGTCTTCACACCTGTTGAGCCTGAATATTCCTATTCGGTTAAGTTGAATTTAATTAAATTTGGGATTTAATTAAATCAATTTGCTTATTCAATTTCCACGCTAGTCACCAGAGCTATGAGAACACTCTATGTTTACCTTTTTATTTTTATTTTATTTCAATTTATTTACCTTTGTTTCGACCTGAATTCTTATATTCAGCTAAATAAAGCTTAACTAAATTTAAAATTTAATTAAATTAATTGCTTCCGTTTCCTTTTAGTTTTTCAGAGCTATAAGGATGTTCTAACTTTACCTTTACCGTATTTTAGATCACTAGTCACTGTCAAGTCAAGTCATCTTCATTTATATAGCGCTTTTAACAATGGAGATTGTTTCAAAGCAGCTTTACAGAGATAAACATACAATTTACGGTAACAGAGATTGTTTTGGCTTTATAGCGATTTTGAATAATGTTATTTCCGGCTAAAGTTGGGTTTGATTGATTCACTTCCAGCAAAATTATCATTTGTTATTACATTAGGGGCCACTAAGATGACGGCGTTCTCTCTAAACAGACTTTAAACGCGAACCTGTGAGCTGATGGCATTCACATGCGCATTAAAAATTGATTCTATAGTTATATTCGTTTGAATATGTGTGCGGAGGTTTGTAATTTCCCTACAAACCATGCCTAAACAAACTACTTGTCTTGCCTATAAATTTGATACAGAATAGTTAGGATACAGAAGTTTTATCACTTCGGTACGCGACCCGGATTTTCAACAACGCTTTATCTGTAGAGTGGGAAAGGGATCCTCCATATGGAGAGGATAGTTGACACTTCAGCACTGCATTGTCATCGGGTCCAGGCGAATCTCCTTCGTCAGATCTGGATACG